TGGAGTGTGTGCTGTCTGTTTATTGTTAGAAGTCATCACCAACAAGTCATAGACACCTACTGTAGAAGAATCCTTAACACCGACACATATACATATACTTAAAACCCAGACATACAGTATGTGAGAAACACTTATTTGAAATACCTACCAGAATAAGCAAGTAAAGGGATGAATCACTCCAGACCTGTGCTTCAAAAAGAACGCAAGATCCTTCTAGCTGGTTAAAATTACCAAAATGGTCTGGTTTTTAGTGTTTGGGGTAGCCTTTACTACACTTCCAGGTAACCACCATAACCCTATTTCCAATTGAGGGGGTGCATCTACTTTATCCCACACCAATGGGATTACATCAACTAAAATGGGAACTTTCCATATTGATCTCCCCACCAGCTTAGTACTGGGGAAGCAAAGGTTCTCCCACTTCATTGGAAGAAAATGGGAGAGGGGGGGGAAACAAATAAGAACAAACACTGGAAAATGCATGGACCAAACAGAATTTATCTATCATCTGTATAAAGTCTGTGCAGACTGTGCAATGGATTACCACAAACTGGAACAACAGGAGCTGACCAGGTGTGAGAGTAAGGAACAACACCAAGTATTGTCTTTATTTAAGAAGCAGAATAACTTGGAAGTTAAAATGTATAAACTGCTGAAGAATTCTTGTGGAAATTTCCATCTCAACATCAGCCACTGAGCAGGGTCAGATGGGGTTAACACTTTGTTATCCCCTACTTGATACAGATTTTGGAAGAGAAAAGTATTCCCTGTGAGGCAACACCAAATACATGGTGAGTTCCATTGTCTCCAGTGTGTGTGTATGTGCATGTATATAAAGAAGACACAAATACATATACTGACATATATACATATGCACACACTGTATTTTAAGGTAGCTTCTTTTTTGAAATTTCCAAGAAAAAATAAAATAAAATCGCATTTTTAGAACTTTTGGGAAAAATGGATAATAGCAATTGGAGAGAGAGATCCAGAGATGGAAAAACTGAGATGTGACACAAAGGTGTCAGAGTCTGCATTCTGCCTGTGATATCACTCCCAGGGAATGTCAACAGCCAGATTTAAGAGAAGCTATGAGATGACAAACTTTATGGGAGGTGACATAAAAAATGAAGAAAGGATCATCTCCCACACAGTAATATATAAGTTGGATAAGTTATTTAACCCATATAGTCAAGATAAGAGAAAGTCATGAGAAGAGGAATCCCACATGAAAAGGACTATTTTGACTGCCTTGATAGGGAGCAGTGCAAGTGTGATAACAATGAATTTTCCAAAAAAGGATAAAGGAGACAACCTGGATCTGAACGATTGCATAAAGAAGAAAGGGAAGGAAAGTTGATTGAAGAAAATATCCAATCACCCTCCCAAGCATCCCAAGTGCTGGTAAGGAAGGAGTGATCTAAAATTAAAATCAATGTGTACCTGTGGTAAAGAATGCAGGAGTCCAAAGCAAAATACCAGAGTGATGTCTCTTGCAAATTAGAGAGAAGAAAATACATCTCAAAGTAAGATGGTACAAGGGAACAGGTGGCGAGGGGTTGAGACTGAGGAGATGCAAGACTTATGAGAACTAAATAAAGATTTCAATCCAGAAGATGAACTGGATGAGAAAGACAACTGATTAGTATGGCTTAGAAGATGTCTGTTATAATCAGAGAAAGAAAAGGAGAATGGCCAGAGAAAAGATAGAAGGTCACTAACAAAGCTGCACTATAGCTGACAATTGTAGAAGCAGATAGACTGCCATTAAAATGCTGGGTAAAAAGGAAGAGAGATGAAGAATATTCAGATGACCAGCATTGATAAATCATAAGACTCACAAATGAACCAGATACTGGATGAGAATCAATACTGATTAAGTTAATTAGAAGCCTGACCAGCAAACCCAAATGAGCAGACTCCTGAAAGAGACAGGAGTTTTTACCGAACTGTGCTTTCTTGGACAAGGCTAGTATTTGGCAAACATCCACCTGAGGTGGAAATGCAGACCCAACGAGTGCATTCTCTGTGTGAATGCCCTTAGAACTAAATTGAAAACCAGCCAATGTGAACCATGAATGACATGGAAAGCACCCAAGAATCTTCTGTAAAGTGAATCCACAGGTGTACAAAGTGTAACAGCCAAGCTACTCTTATAGGACCAAAGCTGAGGGTTGGATCCAGAAACAAATAGTCACTAAGCCCCATGATGGCAGGCCTCTTGGAATAGGGGACTCTAGGAAAAGGCCACAGGATGAGTAACTTCCAAAAAATGTCTCCATGAAAGTAGGGTGTCAAATGGAGTTCCATGTGAAAGAAATAAAGTCTATCTCCAGAAAACAATGCATCCCAATAAAGCATGTTCAAAAAAGAAAGAAAAAAGTAAATTGGGGAAAAGCTGAAGTAAGCAAGGCAAATGGAGAACAGGTTAATGTGATTCCCCAGTAAAGATCAGGAGGAAAACGGAAAGGGGATAACAAAATAAGAAAGTGAGTAAGCGAAATATGAAGGTGAAAAAATTGAAGGTAACAAAAGAAACAAAGTATGAGAAAAAAAATCTCCAAGTTGGAAGAAGAGAATCAAGGGATAGGAGCACTAAAAAAATTCCATCCACAGGCCACAGAAGACAAAATCATAGGAGATGAGCTGCATGCAAGAATTCCATCCAAGAACCAGCAAATTCAAATGGGAATAAATGAACAAATGTCACATACTTAAGTTATCATAGTGGTTAAGGACAAAGGTGGGTGTTACCTGATCCTCATCAGGGTGAAAAGAACCAAAAGCAAAGACATGTTGTAGGAAGAGCTGGTCAAAGACATCCGAGACAAGAAAGGCTCAGCAAAAGTTACAGAAGTGGGACAAAACCAACCACATGATATGCAATGCTCACTGTCAGGGTAACTATAGACTCCACTTAAAAATAATCCTATGGAGGAGAGTTTGAAACTTGGGGGGTTTCAAAAAATTGGATAAGAAATATTTTATGTAATAATATTCATGAAACTGAATTGATGGAAAATAGTAATATTATGATTATTTTAGCAAGTCTGGTTTGTCTATGGAACTTAGGCCTTGGTCATTTTTGTATTGACAAAATTTAAATTAATTATTGAAATCCAAACATTAGGCAACTAATGATAGGGAATGTTCCTGTCAAAGAGACCATATCATTGACTCTAGAATAAAATATTGTTTGCTTAAGAGAAGAAATCAATTTAATGTAAGAAAATGTAATAATTCATGTCATACTCTTTAACTGAAATCAACTCTAAAGGTTTGTATCTTTTTTTTCTTCTCAAAATCAAGAAAATGAAGGTAAGAAAGATAACACTTGAGGTGTTATGTAAAAAGTTGAAAATAAGTATAAAAATTCTGTAATTTGTAATGAATAAGAACATGACTTAACATCACAGTGCAGAAGAAAAGAATGAGCTTTTGGTATACATGAAGAGCTGATAGGGAGTTCTACCCATGGAAGATGTGTCACCCTTCTATTTTTGGACGGGTATAGTCTAATGATGATTGAATCATAGACTGGTGCAATACACATTTTTATGTGTAGGGGTAGTAGTTATGTTGAAAGGCTCAGTGCATGTGCAAAAAATGTTTTGGCAGTGGCATGAGGTATTAGCTATCTATTCTGTGGAGAGGTTAGTAGTTTTTCTGAAGGGTAGCATTTTGTAACAGGTGAGAACCCACTATTTATCAGCTGTTGTTGTTACAAGATTTGCTGATTTGTATATATTAAAAATAATTTTAATATAAGATACTCAACCCTCTGTAATGTTTATGAAACATGAAATAATGCAAACAAACTTGCATATAGTCAAAATTTACTAATTATTACCCAATAATATTTCTTTGATATACATATATAATTAGCAATCGATGTGTTCGAAGGAAAACGAAGTTTGATAACAAACAAGATTATGACACACACACAACATTGTTTATTGACAAAAAGGGAACATAGATAAACGTTTCGGAATTCTATCAAATTCCATCTTCAGTATCTAAAGCAAAATAAAATAAATTTACATAAGTCATTGGACATTGTCAAAGTACAATTACTAAATATAACGATAATTAAGCTAATAAAACACAAAACAGTAATCATGGGGAGAAACTACAGCAAGAAAACACAACAAAAAAAGGGTAAAATCAGTAATACGAACATATTAAAAAATGTATAATTTAAATGAAGACTGCATGTTGTTCAGTGTTAGATGTGGAGGGTTTCTTTAATCAATAATTCCAGGTCAGTATTAGACTTGCAGAGGATAGACAAATTTGATTGTATAGGTTAATGTCCTGTTTCTTCACTATGTTGGCGTATAGAGGAAACACAGGGGTTACTCAATTTTTTTTTGCATTTTGATGGAAATTCCCATATGTTCATAGGTTCTGACTTTTAAATAAACAATGTTGTATATCATAAGTATTGTAATCTTGTTTATTATACATATATAAGTTCCGACATTTACATGAAAAATCTTTAAAAGACAAAGAGGATACCCTTAAAGCCCTACACACACTTCAGTAGGTTCATCAGGCAAACTGCTCTCCCTCACCAAAAAATTACAACATGGCTACTCTGTTATCCTAACTTGTGGAAAAAAGAAATAGAAAAGGTGTTAAAAAAACTTCTAAATTTATTCAGCATCCTTTATCTAGCTCTTTTAACTATATTCTAGTCAATATGCTATGGTAATGGTTAAAAACTAAACACACAGACGTGTTTATGTACTTGAGATGCATTCAATTCTTAATAAGCAGTGGTTAGTAATTTCATGCAAAGACTACTATCAAAATTAACACTTATTCATTATCTATAACATTCACTGTTGTTTAATCTTGCTAAAGGGGAAAAAACATTATATTTTAGAGATTATCTGGTACTTACTGGTTAAAATATTGAACTCACAAGCTGTTTTCAGGTTAGCACCTGGGACTATAGTGTTCTCATTTTTTCACAATGAAGAGCCATACTCTCTTACCTGAGCTGGAAAGCATAAGCTAATGTCTTCAGTCAGCTGATCAACATCATGATCACTGAAATCAGGCAAGGACTGGGTAATGATGTCAAGCAGGGAATCAGGAAATTCATCATCATTTTGTAGCAAATTCTTTGGAGGACAGAAGAAATGTTTGAATACATGCAACTACTAGTAAATTTTTAAAGAAGTCTGACTGAACATTAATGTTTGTAAATATAAAATGCAATATGCTGCTAACGAGCATGGAACGCTAGGGCAATAACAGCAATACAACATTCAATAGCTGCTTTGTGAAATGCAAAAGTCACCAACTTTTAGATCTAAAATAGATTCTTTCATCACACCAACAGCCTACCAATGGGATCACTTCTTTCACTAGCTCTCGGTGACAGTTAAATGGAAAATTTTCAAACCACAGCTCTACAAACAAGTACCTTAATACTCAAGACATGGAAATGGAATGTAGATAATACCTTTGCAATTTGGTCACATAGATAAACATCTCTTCTAGACTTTCTGTAACACCAAAGTTCCATCAACTCAAGTACACAATTCTCCATGCAAACAGAAGAAAACAGAACACTACCATTTCTGAACTCCATTGTTTAACAGACAGAATGATCAACCCTCACCACTATAGTATGGAGAAAACCCACACACACAAATAGGTCTTTGCACTACAAATCCAACCATTCACAAATTGATAAATGAGGAATCACTATAAATATATTTGACAGAATCAGAAAATTATGCACTGAAGGAAAACTGAAGAAAATTGGCTACCCTTCACCTTAACCTCCAAGAAAAACAGGAATTTCCTGCTCCAATAACAAGACCAACACAAAATTGAAATTAACATATATCCCTAAATTAGGTAAAAATTCTCATGAGGTTATACCATAAGTTCAACATAAAAGTTTGTTTCAAATCTGGAAGAACCTTTCAAAACACCTCAATGAAAGTGAAACTCATCAAAACGCAAAATAAGTAAAACAAATATATAAAATACCATGTTTGTGTAAATATACATAAATTAGTGAACAAAGAATAAAATATCATTAGGATATAACTAGACTGAAACATCCAGAAAAATCAACATTGACAGAACATATTTACAATACAGGCCATATTATACTCTGGGACCAACATCAAATACTGGACATGGCTTACCACTAAAAAATTCGAGAAATCAAAAAATCCACAACAAATTACACCAACATAAATGTACACTCAACTGAGATCACTGCTTTCACATCACCAACCTGTCACACCAAACTACACAGAATGAATGATAATGCAATATGTCACACAGCACAATTCCAGATATATAGACTCTATGATAGGACCATGATAATCAACAAAAAGGTTCCACATTTAATAACTTTGACTTTGATCTGAGAAGACCTCAGTATAGAAGCCAAAATTTCATCAAATCATAGAAAAAGGTAGGAGCATTCCACTAAAGCTAAAACTCTACCATGTCTACACTGCATGTCTAACAACAACTTAACTTGCTAATGTTCATAAATTTAACCAACATGAAAACAATTGGACAATATGTTAACTACATTGCTTTCTAGTTGTTGAAACTTTTTACTTTCCCAAAGGAGACATCATCATAAAAGGTATTATCAATAAATATGTACATTATGTTACATTTTCATTGGTAGTAAAAGTAAACTGTATTTCTGTCACTATGTATAAAACAGTAGCTATTAGAAGTTAACATTTTCCTTACCTGAAAATGTATTTCTGACAGATACTTAGCTCTGTGCACAGATTGTTTATTAGTTATTTTCCTCTTGAAATCCTGCTATTCTGCCTTAGATTTGTATGCCACCAGCCTTGTGAAACTCCCACACAAAATTCACATGAATTTCAGCTACTGCATGATGACTTATCATGCAGCAAAACCCTCCATCAATAGAAGAGAAACATACTTCTCTGTGTAAATGCTCCCTCTACATTCACACACAAAAATCCCCATTCTTTGATGAGCCAATCAATAAAAGTGTACCGGGAATGTGGGAAGGAAGGATGGAAATGTACACAACGGTGAGTATCTATCAAAAATACATTTTCAGGTAAGGAAAATGTTAACTTCCAATGCAATGAGTCACCTCCATGCACAGATTAGCTAGACTCCAACGTTGAGATGGTGGATGGACTGGTGCATCAAGAAAGGCAGAAGGTGGAGGAAATGCCACCTTAAAACTTGAGATAGAAGAGACTTACAGATCACAGGAGACCCAACCTGTGAAATAGAGGAATTTATTTGTTTGTTTAAAGTTAAGCACAATGCTACACAATGGGCTATCTGTGCTCTATCTACCACGAGTATCAAAACCCAGTTTCTAGAGTTGTAAGTCTGCAAACATTACACTGTCCCACTGGGGGGCAAAATAGAAAGAATATGTTACAATGTAATGAAGTCAAAGGGAATTAGTGACAATGAGACTGAGGTGATAAGTACATCCCATACATTGGCATACAGAAGCAGTAGAAGGGTGACAGGAGTGGGACAAAGGGATAGCTACATCATCAGGGAGGTGGACTGGACAATCCTGTGTCAGGGTGGATCAGAAGGGATGGAAAGTTGGAAAGATGAAGTCAGGGCTGGGAATCAAGGAGGTGGAGTAATAGAAACAAGGTTGGGATAGACAGTGAGGAGTCACCAAAGGGACACCTTAACCCTTTGACTTCCAGCACACTCTATAACCCAATAACAACAATGTGCTGCAAGGTGCAGTATGCTACATAATTCTCCTTACATTTCATTATAAAAATAAAATGAGATAATAAAATTGTTTAAAACTTGAAAAGAATTTTGAGAAAAGCATGTAATTTGAGAAAAATAAAATATTTAATTTTGGTTTTCATCTACTATTTCTGATAAAAATTTGTTATGTAAAATAGATATTTGCACTCAGACTTTGAATAGTTTACCCACAAGAGGATTTTCATTTTGAGTATAAAAATACTATTTATTATTTTACAGTTTTCATACTTCATTTGCATAATCTGTAGAATCTCCTCAGTAACATGTGCAGAAAGTGTTTTAAAAATGGTGTCGTGGATATGGGTTTAAACTCCATTCTGCACATCATGAAGTGTTACTGAGTTACATTCAAAATTTTATATTAACTACATTTTTATTCCTTTATTTCAAATAAACTTCTAAAACAATAATCAAAACTTCAGTTTTGTTGCCACATGATGCTGAAGTTAAAAATATCTCAGTTTACATTTCTCCTATTTTGATACTTCTCTGTCTGCAGTATACATGTATTGTCTAGACACAAATGTATGGGTACAAGTTGATTATCTGACACTTGTTTCAAATTACACTTTGAGACTTTGAAAGAGGAAGCTGTAAATCTTTCTCCCCTCTTATAGTAGCCACACCCACTTTCTAAAGTAGAAAGGGAAATCATAAGCCATATTTTAGTTCCTTAAGGACATATTTATTACTAATAGAAAGAGCTAATTTTAAACTACAATCTCTCAATTGTTATCTTAAAACTAGCTCTGAATATTCATTCACAAGCTTGTCAAACCACAAAAGTATAGTTGGAAGGTCATCCACTAGCACTTAGATATTTTTCCCTCACCTCATACATATTAGTTTGATAGACAGTTAAATTATATTTGAAAGGTTTAATGATTGTTTTGTATAACCCAAACTTCACCTCACTCTGTGAGTCTTACGTAAGTTAGCCTCACTAAAAACACTTTGCCAAAGGTTAAAGTATCTCTGCTGATGATACTGTTATATCACCATTATGTCAACATAAATAATCAATGGTAAATAATAGGAAAGGAAAATAAAACATTAAAGATAAACTATAAGTGAAATAGTAAAGATGTTAAATTATGCACCTGACCCACAATTTCAAACATTTTATTGCACTATACATTGATGATAATAGCAAGAGTTAGTGATATGGTTAGTGATAGAGAAAATGGCAAATAAAATATAAACATTTACCTTAAAAAAATTTCATATTCATTTAGGAGATTCTAGAGATTATACAAGTGAAATGTGAAAACTGTAAGATAATAAATAGTATTTTATACTTAACATGAACTAGTCAGTATCTGAGTGCAAATAACTACAATAAAAATTTTTTTAGTAGAAATAGTAGAAAAAATCAAAATTAAATATTTTATTTTTCTGAAACTACATATCTTTAGGAAAGCTCTTGTCAAATTTCAAATAATTTCATCCACTAGTTTTATTTTTTGGAACAAAATATGATGAGAATGAGGTTACAACCTTACAATGTAAGGGCTTAATAGTCATACAGTTAAGGGGTGTCCCTAAATTGAACAAGGGCCTGAGCTAGGAAATGGAGGAGGGCATGCATAGTAAAAAGGATGGGACAGACCAGACAGAAGGCACAGACAGCTAAAGCTGAAGAATGAGGCACAAAAGACCAGAGTAAAGGAATTTAGCAAAGATGGGTGTCGCAAGGCAACAAAAGGAGAAGGAGGATAAATGCGAAAGCAGAACAATGGAAGACCAATGGGTTAGGAACCAATCTGTAGGTAGGATGCAGTCATGTCAAGAAGACAGCTCGCAATGATGTTTAGTGCCCCAGAACATGACAAGTTATTAACATATTTGAATGGCATGTGCCCAAAACTAAGTCTGAACCCTGTCTACTATATGTATATGTAAAGGAGTAAGGAAAGAAGATTAAACATTATTTACTAGGAATACATGTTATGGAGGAAGTACCCACATTTACACATTGACTATGGGTGACATTATATGGAGTAATAAATTATGTCTAAACTCTATCTTCTAATGATATGTAAAAGAAGTAATTAATCAGACCTAATCTTTATAGACTATGTGGACATGTTAAGAAGCAACGAATGAGGATAAAACATAATCCACTACATGTAAATGCTAAGAAGTAATGAACTATAACAAAATAATATTACCTATGTCTGATATGCCAAAGAGTAATGGACAAGAACTAAACATGAGTACACACTATGCAGTAAAAAAGACTATAAAAAAACATAAATCATTAAGTGGACATGTGAAAGAGTAATGAACAAAGTCTATACATCATTGTCAAAGTGTTGCAAGTTAAGGAAGGATATCAAAATATTATCTCCAATGTGTACACGTTAACCCTATCAGCCCTGGTACCCTTTACTGTACATGACACAAGGTTTTAGTGTCTTACATTCAAACTTTTATTAAACTACTTTTTGTTTATCTTATACTAATAAGAATAGCATAAAATCTCAGCTAATAATCCATATTTTAATAGTATACAGGTTTTAAGTTCTTAATTCTAAAAGGAAATATATAAAAAAATCCTAAATTTTCACTAGTGTAACACACATGACACATTTTGTCTTAGCATGTCATCATCCCTATTTTATCCATCACCCCTCGAAAATGTACGAAATTAAATGTAAAATGCTCTCTATAAAATTGTTATTGCTCAAACAGACCATAATTTTTATGGCCTTCAATTTTGTTTTGTGACAGAGCTTTAAAAGAGAAAATCAGTCCCCTCCTGCCACACCACCTATCACATCCTCTCTTTCACAATTCATTGATAGTTCTCTCTTACGTTTCATTATATATTACCTATAACCAATAGAA